TCTGAAGATGACACTTCAAACCCAGCCAAGTCAGGAAAGTCCTTGAGACTCTTATTCCCATTTAACCACCAAAGGGCTGGATGAAGAGATGTGGTTTAAGTGGTAGTCAGCCTTCAGTTACAAAGTTCAAGCCACAGAACTGACACATGGCACATACACTCACACACTAAAAACGAAAATTGAATGTGAGCTTGCATTTTTGTACTTGTGGATTACCCTGAATGATGAACTTGGAGGTAAGCTTCCCTGCTCACTTTGCTCCTGCCACTTTGGTAGGTAAGGAGATCTTTCCTGAGCTAGGCATCTGTTGCTCACACCTGTAATCCTAGCTACTCAAGAGAGTGAGGTCTGAGGATCACTGTTAGAAGCCAGCCTATGCAGCAATGCTGTGAGACATACCTAATTCACCACCTAAAAGCTGGAAATGGAACTGGTTATCAAATGATACAGCAGCAACTTTGTTCGAAAAAAGTTATGCGAGTGTGCAAGACTCAAGCCCCACTATGGGCACACACACACGCACACACACACACAAAGGCAATCTTGCTGTAGTTCTAGCTACTCAGGAGGCTGAGATCTGAGGACCACACTTTGAAGCCAGCCTGAACAGGAAAGTCTGTGAGACTCTTATCTCCAATTAACCACCAAAAATCCAGAAATGACACTGTGGCTCAAAGTGGTAGAGCTCTAGCCTTGAGCAAGAGCTCAAGGACAGTGCCCAGGTCCTGAGTTCAAGCCCCATGACTGACCAAAAAAAAAAAGGAACTCTCTCTTGAGCTCATCCTTCTCAGAATCTGATACGTGGAGCAGTGGACAAAATAGGAAATCATTTCTACTAGCTGTACATGAAGGCAACCCAAACAGTGCAGTGTGGAGGGGAAGACTGGTTTGAAATGATTGAGCAGTAAATGGAGGAGAAATAATGGATTCTGTGCTGAACACTTCATATTTTTATCTTGAATCCTTCAGTGGAATAAGTACGATTTTCTTTAATCCTCTGAATTAAGGAGTCTTGTTTGTACCATTTTACAAAAGAAAAGCTTAAGCTGAGGGCCTGGGAACCCTTTTCTCAGGTCACACCGCTCGGAAGTTGGCAGAGCTTGGGCTGAAACACAAGCTCTTCGCCCCTGTGCCTGCTGTGCCCGCAGGCTGGCGGTCAGGCAGAGTGAGGGCAACAAGGCTGAGGAGGTGAAGTGGGTATGAACGTGTGCATTTGTTCAGCAAATATTCCATCTGATCTATTACAGATACTGCAGTGACTAAGGCAAAAGAACAGCACAAAACTTGGGGTACGCAGCCGTTTCGTTTCCAGGAAGCAAAGACATTGACTCGTTTGAGGGAAGGCTGAGTATCTGACTGGCACAGAGGTGAGAGGGTTTTGTGGAGGAGGGATATTTCAAGTCATGTGAAGGAAGAGTGCAGGGAGAGGGCAGAGGTGGGAAGGGAGCCAGGGAGGGCACGTGGGCCCAGCCTGGGGAGGAAGGGCTGAGCTTAGACAGTTTGGTTACCTCACCCTAGCTAGGGACAGCCTTCAGGGTTTTTGTTTGTATTTTTGGTCGGTCATGGAGCTTGAACTCTGGGCTTGGCGCTGTCCCTGTGCTCCTCAGTTCAAGGTGAGCGCTCTACCACTTGAGCCACAGAGCCACTTCCGGTTTTCAAGTGGTTTATTGAGATGAGTCTCATGAACTTTCCTGCCCGCTGACTTTGAACCATGATCCTCAGATCTCAGCCTCCTGAGGATTACAGGCATGAGCCACTGGTACCCAGCTTCAGCCTTCAGTTTTGAGATGGGTCCTGCAGGCAACAGGATAGCTACCACAGGGTAGGGAGGACATAATTAGCCAAATTTGCATGTTTCAGATCACTAGCAAGAGGTGAGGAGTGAAGAGACAGCAGTTGGCAAAGGGGCAGATTCAGACTACAATGGATGCAATGTCTCCTGACTTTGGTGGGGGGGGGGGGCGTGTAATCCGGGGGGGAAGAGAAGAGGCTGATGGAGGGGAAACATGAGTTGTAATGTTGGTCAAGTTGGCTTGATGCTGGTTGCTAGGCAACAGCTATCAAGTGGCAATTAGGTGTGGACCTGGACCTCTGAGCAAGCTGTCCACACAAATGACACTTAGAGCCTTGGGGGTAGGTGGTGTGAAGAGGGGGAAAGTTGAAAGGAGAACTCGGGTGATGAACTTGAAGGAACTTCAGCCTAGCACACAGAAGAAAGCTCATAAGTATGGTGTATGCTCAAAGGGCCCAGCTGAAGACAGTGCCTGTGGCTCACGCCTATAAACTACTCAGGAGGCTGAGATGTAAGGATCAAGGCTCAAAGCCAGCCCAGGCAGGAAAATGAGACTTATCTCCAATACACTACAATAAAAGCCAGAAGTGGAGCTATGGCTCAAGTGGTAGAGCACTAGCCCTGAGCCAAGAAGGGACAGCACCTAGGCCCTGAGTTCAACCCCCAGAACCGGCACACACATACACAAAAAGGCCCAACTGAGCTTGCTAGACAGGAGGGAATATGATTGATCTACAGAATAAAGTGAAGGAGGCAAGAAACAGAATAATGTGGGCTGGGAAGGTGGCTCAGTGGTAGAGCGCTTGCCTTGCATATACGAAGCCCTGAGTTTGATTCCTTAGCCCCACATAAGCAGAAAAAGCCAGAAGTGGCGCTGTGGCTCAAGTGGTAGAGCGCTAGCCTTGAGCTGAAGAGCTGAGGGACAGCGCCCAGGCCCAGAGTTCAGGCCCCATGACAAACGAAAAAAAAAAAGAATAATGTATGCCCATTTGTATAAAAGAGGATGAGGAGACATAATAAACGTGAATGAAAATTTTTGCAAGAATCTGTGAGCTTACGCAGGTCAGCCTCTGGAGAAGTGGATCTGGTAGTGTGGGGTGGGAAAATTTAACTGTATTCTTCTGTATTGGTTCAATACTTTATTTTTATACTGAGGATGACGAACCCAGGACTTTGAGAATGCTAAACACATACTGTACCACTGACCTACACCCCCAGGCCCTAGTTAAACTTTTTTGTTGCTGCTGTTGTCAGTCCTGGGGCTTGAACTCCAGGTCTGGGTGCTGTCCCTGAGCTTTATATGCTCAAGGCTAACACTCTACTAAAGTGAGCTAGCGTTTTGGTGATTAATCAAAGAATCTCACAGACTTTCCTATCCTATCTGAGCTGTCTTCAAACAACAATGCTTAGATCTCTCAGCCTTTGAGTAGGTAGAATTATACTCTTGAGTCAGCACCTTTTTTTTTTTTTAGTGCTTGAGTTTGAACTCAAGGCCTCATTCTTGCTAGACAGACATTCTACCACTCAAGAGCCACACCTGCAGACTGATTTTTTTTTTTTTTTGTCCGTTGTGGGGCTTGAACTCTGGGCCTGGGCACTGTCCCTCAGCTCTTCAGCTCAAGGCTAGTGCTCTTGAGCCACAGCGCCACTTCTGGTTTTCTGAGTGGTTTATTGGAGATGAGTCAGACTTTCATACTCCCTTGGCTTTGAACTGGGATTCTCAGATCTCAGCCTTCTGAGTAGATAGATTACAGGCATGAGCCACTGGTGTCTGGCCCATGATTGATTTTTAAGGGACTTGCATTATTATTTTTTCAAGTGAAAGGCAGGATTAAAGATCTTACCTTACACTTGAAATAGCACCTTCCTCCCAAAAGAACTGATGGCTGCTCGTATGTTTGCAGCCCCCCCTTGCCATGTTCATCATCCTTGGTGTTGGTTCCCTGGCATCTGTCCCAGTTCTTTGCTCTTCCCCTCTCTGACATCTTCCTGTTCCATTCATTTTCATGGCTTCAATAACCATGGAGGCATACAACTCCCAGGCCTATCCCCAGCCTGCACTCAGAACCTTAGAAATTTGTGCAACTTCTGCTGTCAGGTGCCTGCCAACCACCTTCAGCTAGCCCGGGGCCCCTCCTTGTCCTCCCTCAACCTGCACCAGAGCTGGCCTTCCCCTTCCAGTCTCTTTCCCAGTCACAGCCTTGGCTGCCACTGATGCCCAGTGTTCTGCCAGGACTCCCAGTCACTGTCTGGCTTCCAGGGGCTTTGATGGGGTCTCTAATCCCATGTGGTTCACACCACAGCTCCAGGAAGTCAGAAGCCTTCACAGGTCATGAGGGGACCTTCAGCCCTCCACAGGGATCCTTTTGGTCGTCTTTCACTCACTGACAGGTCCTTCAGCCTAAGCTGTGGTTGGACCCATGCTGAAAGACAAGGATGCAGGTGGGAGCTAGGTGAAGGTGTGCAGAATGTGAGCTCGGTCACAGAGGCTCATGTGGCCTTGGTACTCACTATCCAGTGAGGCATGAATATCATTGATTTGGCAAATAAGGAAGTAAGACACAGAGACTAACGTGGCCCATAAGATCTGTGAGCAAGTATACCCAGCCCTGTAAGAAGCCTTTTCACTGTCCTTGTGAAAGCCGTGAAGCCAGGGGGTCTAGATTCCCACTGACACATTGTTCCTCAGTGGAGCAGCTTTCCAGCTTGGGCCCTTTTCCCCACTGTGCTGCCTGCCCCTGCCCACTGCCAGTGGGACATCCTGGGTTCTGGGCCTCATTCCCCACTCCACTGCCTGCCCCTGCCTACTTCTGAGGCATCCTGGATCCTGTTGCCTATAGCTATGAAACTCTGGTCAAGTATGCTCAACCCTGTACAGTACTCAGCAGGTTGTTGGCCGGTGAATGAGCTCTGTTGGTGTAACAAAGCTGTCTACACCAATCAGGCAGCAGGCAGCAAGCACTGTAATAATGATCAACAAAGCCAGTTTCTGACCTCCCTGGATTGATGTCTTACTGAGGAAGACACAGATATTAAGCAAATCCATTCACGTATCATTAACAACTGGACTAAGTGTTCTTTAACATGAGAGTGATGTGACTCTCAGCCTCTTAGCTTTGGGATTGGCTCCTGGAAGACACCATCCTCCTTCCCCCTGCAGAGGGAGGCTATGCAGAGCTAAACATGACTAACAGCAATCAAAAGCAACTATTTTGAATTGTTTTTATTTAGATTTTACAGAAACCTGATTGAAGTATGTAATTTAAGTCCAATAACAGTTGCTACCAAAAAAAAAGTACATAGAATGCCAGAATTCCTTAAAAGCAACTAGTATCACATCCTTGTTTTGCATAAAACATGCATTAGTATCAACTGCCATATGTTGGCCAAAGAGAGTCTCTCTGTAGAAGAGACAGTCCAATAGTAAGAAAACTAGTTGTGAACAGGTTTAAAAAAAAAAAAAGTTTTCCGGTTAATGTGGAAGAGCAGTACCTTTTGTGAAACAAGCCACCAAACACTGGGTGACATGCACAACTGTGCTGCACAGTAACACACTGCCTCCAAGATTTGGTCCTGACCTGTTACCGCAAGAAAGGAACCTTCTGGAAGTTAAATCAGGTATTTGGGAGATACAAACTTGCAGGACACAATGATAAACTAACAGTGCAGCTCAAATCCTCAGACTTGGAAAAGTTCCCGAGCTTTTCCACAAGCCTCTCCACAAGGCCCACTCAGGGCACCCAGGCACCTCCTGCAGCCACAAGACCTTGAGCTACACACACACTAGTCTTCCCAAGGATCTGCAAGGAGGCTGAATGCCCAAAACCCAAAACCATAACCAGTACCATATCATGAGCCCTGATGGTTCATCTTGCTCATCTTGACTGCTGGACGCAAAGGAACATTCACACACACGTAGCCCGAGTAACTTTTCCTCAAAGTATGTCACCTACTGTCAGGAAAGACCCTGTTCCTCCACACAATGCAACTTAGGGTTCTTTTTGTACCAAAAAATCTTTTCCACAGGCTGAGGGCTTCGAAGAGATTTCATACCAACTGAAAGGCCTTCCTCTCAAATGCAGAGTTTTATATGTCCCAGGAGGACCTTTGAAAGCCCTGTCATTAGAGAAGTGGCTGTGGATGGGGTGTGAAATGTAGCTAAAGGTCTCATCTGGAATCTCTCCCTTAGCCAGTCTCCTCCAAACCAGGGAAGCCACTGCCCTCACTGCAAGAAAGCCAAACAGTATCTTTTGTCTTCGGTACAGGGTCAAGGAGAAATAATAACTTACTTGGGTTCTAATAACATTTTTATAACAAAGCAATATCAAAAGAGGTCCACTTTAAATATAAAGTTATGAATATCCCTGATAACATAAGGAAATCCAGAGGACTTAGCAAACGACCAAGATTTCACAGGGGTAATGCCTGGTCGTTTTCTAGGCAGCAGGAAAGGGAGTAGTGTACTGGCAGAATTCCCCTCCCCAAGAAGCCCTGGGAGCATACAGTACTGAAATGCTAACATCCGAGTGCCAGGAGAATCATGAATGAGTAGTTCACTTGAAATTGATCATTAAAATTCAGAACAAAGGTCTGCTTCCTCAACACTGTTTCTGTTAGTCTCCCTGCCTATGACAAACATTTAGGCCAGAACACCATCAGTCCTGGCTACTCTAGAGGCTGGCCCAGAGAAAGCAGGTTCCAAGATCCCTTCTAAGCCATGACAAACCTCAGAAAGCAGGGGAGGGAGAAGTAGGCAGAACAGGCTTGAGGAAGCACTAACCCAAGGCACCACGATCATGGAGGGAGGGGGACCCTTAGAGCTTCTGGTTTCTGCAATGCCTACCAAGGTCCTAGAAGGGACAGATCTGTGACAAAGGACACACATTTTGGGAGTTTAAAAACAAATCACTAGAAAAGGAACCAATTTGCTTTCTCAAAACCAAATCAAACTTCTTAAAACTTAAAACCAGAAAACCCTGGGTATCCTGGACAGGAGAGAGCTGAAGTCTGTGGAATGAGTTGCGTTTAGTTGAGTCATAATGAAGGATGCTGGCTGTGAGATGAGCGTCAACTGGTGGCTACTGTAGTTAAGAAGGAAGAGAGCTCACAGCTGGAGGACAGGAAGGGAACCGAGTATGAAACAGGCCTCATGTGTTCCTGGAACAGTAAAGCGGCGTTTTCATTGGCCTGAGTGAAAGCATTGTATTCCATTTTAGCTGCAATAATACTGCATCCCGTCCACTCTTCTTCTCTTTTTTGACTGAAATTCCTCAAAGAACTGCTGAATGTCCTCTCTCTTAACAACCTGTTGACAAAAGGCAAAATTAGGAAAGAACTACATTACACAACAACAGTATAGGTCAGCACACTCATAGGAAGCCCTAAGATTACAAGATGCTCCCCCATCACGAGAGGTCAGGTCTGAATAAGCCTATTGTAAGTGGACACTTAGTGTCTAGATTAGAAATCCACTGGCCGCACCAAGTTGCAGAACATGAGAGCATGGCAGCACAGCACTCTGGGAGGATGAGGACTGCGGGCTGACAGGGACCTCCAATGGCGGTGGCTCTGCTGCTCAAAACTATGAGCCAGTACTAGGGCTATCACTTAGCTTTTTTTTTTTTTTGGGTCCAGTCATGGGGCCTGAACTCTGGGCTGGGCGCTGTCCCTCAGCTCTTCAGCTCAAGGCTAGCGCTCTACCACTTGAGCCATAGCGCCACTTCTGGCTTTTTTCTTTTTGCTTATGTGGTTCTGAGGAATCAAACCCAGGGCCTCAGGCATGCAAGGCAAGTGCTCTACCACTGGGCCACCTTCCCAGCCCTCACTTAGCTTTTTTGCTCTAGGATGGCACTCTACTAATTGAGCCATATTTATGATACTAGTAAACTATTAAAAATATTTAAGTTAAGCCAGGCACCGGTGGCTCACACCTGTAATCCTAACTACTCAGGAGGCTGAGATCGGTGAATGGCGGTTCGGAGCCAGACTGTAGAAAAGTGTATGAGATTCTTATCTCCAATTAACCACCAAAAAGCCAGATGAAGAGCTGTGGCTTAAGAAGTAAAGTGCTTGATCTGAGAATGTGGCTTAGTGGTAGGGTGCTTGACTAGTATGCATGAAGCCTTGGATTCGACTCCTAAGTACCACATAAGCTGAAAGAGCTGGAAGTGGTACTGTTGCTCAAGTGATAGAGTGTTAGCCTTGAGCAAAAGTAGCTCAGGAACAGTGTGCAAGCCCCGAGTTCAAGCCTCGGCAGTGGTATCTGTTTATGTGTGCATACACACAGAAATTTATGCCTAGTATGTATAAATTGGATTTGATTTTAATTTTTCTTGCTAGTCACTACTGTTCCATCTTTGTTTTCATTAAGTCCAAATCAGCAGAGTTGGTGTTCCTGATTCCTTCCGATGGCTTTCTCAGCTACAGCTACTCCAAACCTGAGTGGTGCTCTTGCCCGCCCGCCCCATTCTTTCTGGCCTTCAGGGACTGATAAGGACCTCCAATATGTCTGTTGGTGTTGAACTGCCCCTTTACTGATCTCTCTTAGCCTGCCAATAGCCCTATAAATAGTTTCTGCATTAAACTTTCAAGTACTCAGCTCTGCTTGGTGGTGCTTACTGTAATCCTAGGATTTGAGAGCTGAGACAGGAAGATTAAGAGTTCAAGGACTGCAGAAGCTAAACAGCAAATTTGTCTCCAACTCCTCAAATATAAAAGTTTCAAGTACTCCATTTTAAGTTGCAATCATTTTTTTTTAATCACCAAAGGAAATAGTATTCAAAACTTACAGGGGAGTGGAGGTTATTTTGATTGGGGTACATTGTATGTATATATGTAAATATTAAAATGAAACACCAGCCTTATAAAACTAATATATATGCTAACAAAAAAAATCTTTTTTTTTTTTTTTTTGGGTCAGTTGTGGGGTTTGAACTCTGGGCCTGGGCGCTGTCTCTTCAGCTCAAGGCTAATGCTCTACCACTTGAGCCACAGTGCCACTTCTGGTTTTCTGAGTGGTACATTGGAGGTAAGAGTCTCACGGACTTTCCTGGACTTTCCTGCCTGGTCTGGCTTTGAACTGTGATCCTCAGATCCGAGTAGTTAGGATTACAGGCGTGAACCACCGGGCGCCCAGCCAAAAAAAATCTTTTAACAAATAAAAATTAAAAACTTACAGGGCTATGATTAAAATTCTTTTACTCAACATACCGTGCCTTCATCAGCAAATCTCTTCAGATAGTCTTTAAGTTCGGTCTTCAAGTCATTATATTCTAAATCAAAACCACAAAAGTACTTGAAGTATAGTTAACCCATGTGCTTTCAAAAACCACTTATTTGCCATTGACAGCTGAATGTTTAATAGATAAAAGTCAAACCTGCATTTGGTCCCAATGCCTCCCAAAACCTCTGGGCTTCCTTCATTTTGCTGAGACTTTTTTTTTGGCCGGTCGTGGGGCCTGAACTCTGGGCCTGGGTGCCGTCCCTGAGCTCTTCAGCTCAAGGCTAGCGCTCTACCACTTGAGCCACAGCACTACTTCCGGCTTTTTTTATTTATGTGGTGCTGAGGAACTGAACCCAGGGCCTCATGCATGCAAGGCAAGCGCTCTACCACTGAGCCACCTTCCCAGCCCCTGCTGAGACTCTTTTTAACAAGAACAACAAAACAAAAAAATAAACACACAAAATGCAGAAATATCCTTAAAGATGAGCTAAGAATTTTTTTAAAGGTTTACTATTTTTCTGGAATTGAAGTATTTACAGTAATCATCACAGATTAAGTGTAAAACTTATGCTCTCATTAGCAAACTATTGTAAATACAAAGCATCTCTCATACACAGCCACCACTATATAAAATCTTTTCATCTAATAAAGACAAAAGGAATCAATCAGAGTTAAAATAAATAAAAGGCCAGAAACAATTCCACCAATTGCATAAAAGGGACACCAAGGTGGCACCCACGAAGTGGCAGCAGTAGAAGGCTGATGGAACCTGGGCATCCCAGAGCGTGGCCAACGTTCCCTTCTAGTGAACCACCTTACGAACTGTTACAAAGTTGCTATTTCCTCAGAGAAGATGACATAGAAGGCTCAAGAAAATTATACTGAGAGATGCAAAAAAATCATTCAAACATGTACCCTTAATCAAAATAGTACTTGTTGTGGTTTCTCAAATATATAATTATTCTAGAATGAAACTGAGTCCACAGCTGTTGAATACACAACCATATTTAAATCAACCAACAGCAGTTAAGGCTTACTACGTAATTCAAACGTCACTCCATGTAAAAGTAGAAATAGAGTTTACTATTTTCTTTTTTGCTTGTTTTTTTTTTTGGGGGGGGGGGGGGGGTCCGGTCGTGGGGCCTGAACTCTGGGCCTGGGCGCTGTCCCTCAGCTCTTCAGCTCAAGGCTAGCGCTCTACCACTTCAGTCACAGCGCCACTTCCAGCTTTTTTCTTTTTGCTTATGTGGTGCAGAGGAATCAAACCCAGGGCCTCATGCATGCAAGGCAAGCGCTCTACCACTGAGCCACCTTCCCAGCCCCTACTACTTTCTTTATACAATTTTTTGACACAGTGAAGGAGACTTCATAAACTTTGTGAATTTTCACACACAAACAGTATTCACCACAAATGAGCTCCACTTGCTGGACTCGGTTCATGCTATTGAGAGTGTCCATCAATGGGTCCCTTCTCTCGGTGGCCTGGTCAATCTTGCCTTTGTTTTCATAAGCCAAAACTGTGTCATATTCATCTGTCAGGAAGAGGACATCTAGGTCTCCATACATTTTCTAAAAAAAAAAAAAAAAAAGTTGGTTTCCCCATTAGAACTGTACATCATTTTCAAAAAGTCAACTAATTACTAAAAATTATTTATTGTTAACACCTAGAAAAAATTCGAGCCTCTAAACACAAAATGGCTTGGAAAACTTAATATTCCTTGCGCAAATGTTTTTTTAGCTATCTCCCAACTTCTCAGTGGATGTTATAAGGTTTATGAGATCTTTAAAAATCACTGTTTGGGCTAGACTAAAGTTAAGATGATAAAAAGCACTGCACGATTCTCATTTTCTTCTACATAAATCTGCTTAGTAGAAAAACTGGAAAGTCCCTGAACTCCTCTAATCATTTCATATAGACACTTTTTAATGAACAACACATACAAACATCAAACTTAATGTGACACTCACCATACAGCCTTGGCAGGTGCACAACTTGCTGCGCCAGTTCAGGGGCCAATAGGTGGCAGTGTCTTTCTTTACACACTGCTTAGCTTTGAGCTCCTGAAATCTGCAGCCAGATGGTGATTCTGTGTTGAGGCTTTGATTCTTAAACACAGTCTGCAACAAAATGAAGCTTTGAAGGGCTTTTTAAACTATCATAGTTTAGCTTTATGAAGGAACTTTTTGTTGTTATTGGTCCTGGGCTTGAAGTCAGGGCTTGGGTGCTGTCCCTGAGCTCCTTTGCTCAAGGCTAGTGCTCTACCACTTTGAGACACAGCATTACTTCTGGTTTTCTGGGAGTTAATTTGAGATAAGAGTCTCACAGACTTTACTGCCCAGGCTGTCTCTGAACCATGATCCTCAGATCTCAGCCTCCTAAATAGCTAGGAGTACAGGTGTGAACCAGTGGTACCCAGTTTTGAAGGGACTTCTTTAGGCAAAGACTACAGTGAAATCCAAAGATATAGAGCTTATGGAATTAATGTTATCTAAATTACATTCTTTTTCAACATGTGCTTCATATATTACCTGGGGATCAGATTCAGAACTAGAGCTGGCACAAGGCTCATTATTCTGCTCTGCTTTAACTTCCTTGACAGCATCCTTTCCATGTTCTGGAGCATCATCTTTGAGGGTAGTATCTTGATGACCACCATTATCATGCTTGATAACATCCTGATCACCTATTCCGTCAACATTCAGCACCAACCCATCATCCTCAGGAGATATTTTCATTACTGTGAATTCAATGAATACAAACACAAACACACAAACACTCATAGACCTATTGGACAAAGAAATTATTTATTTCGATTTTTAAATATTTCATAATCTAGAAAAGGAGAAGTCACTTTGTTCTCTGGGAGAAGGAGCTAGGAAATATCAACATTTCTTTAGGTTATGTCTGCCTAATCCAAAAAATTAAACTGCTTTTAATATTCATTTCCACTTAAGCACTTCATGTAAAGGAGAAACAAATGTACCAAATATGCTAAAAGGAGATAGGATAATCAAGAAGGGAGGGAAAGTAAATACTGTGAAAGAAAAAGGAGAAATGATAAGGGAGCTAATATTGGGTAATGGTATTTCAAATTAATAGCAAATGAAGCCATCTGTTGATGAGGAAGGAAATGAAGCGAGAAGGGGAAACCAATTAAGAAAACCCTATTGGGCCAGGCATCTGTGGCTCACACCTAAAATCATAGTTATTCAGTGGCTGAGATCTGAGGATTGCAGTTTGAAACCAGCCAGAGCAGAAAAGGCCATGAGATTCTTATCTCCAATAAACTACTCAGAAAAAGCTGTAAGTGGTGCTATGGCACAAGTGGTAGAGCTAGCCTTGAGCAAAAAGAGGGTCAGGGATAGTGCCCATTCCCTGAGTTCAAGACCCAGGACCAGCAAAAAGAAAAAAAAAGAAAAAGAAATGTACTCTTTACCTGACTTAGTAACTATAACCCCTCCATAGATCACCTAGCTACTCAGGAGTCTGAGATCTGAGTGAGAATCATAGTTCAAAGTCGTCCCAGGCAAGAAAGTCTGTTAGACACTTATCTCCAATTAATCACCAAAAAAGCCAGAAGTGGAACTGTAGCTCAAGTGGTAGAGTGCTAACCTTGAGGGGAGAAAGAAAAAAAAAAAAGCAACAGTGCCAGGCTCTAAGTTCAAGCCCCAACACCTGTCCACCCCCTCTCAAAAAAAAAAAAAAGTTTCTAGGCCTGGTGTCCGTGGCTACGCCTATAATTATAGCTACTCAGGAGGCTGAGATCTGCAATCACAGTTCCAAGCAAAGACTCTTATCTTCAATTAGCCAACAAAAAGCAGGAAATGGATGTATAGTTCAAGCTGGGCTGAGGGCTTAGCTTCAAGTAGTAGAATGGCCTGCCTAGCAAGTATGAGGCCCTAAGTTCAAAACCCCAGTACTGCCCCCCCAAAAAAAGTTATTAAACACATTTGATTGAACATATTAACTTCCCAAGCACAATTCTGTGTCATGCCAGTTTCACAGAAGCACCTACCTGCTAACTGTGCTGCGTAGGCCCACAAGAAAGAACAACGTTTCATACAACCCTGGCATACCATCTCCTGGAAATCCCCACTCTCCGGGGGAAAGGCGCCAAGATGCTGTAAATACAGAAAGCAGCTAAATGCCCAGTTTTTAAATATTGTAAAAGTACACTACTATCACAGTTTATTTTTTAAATTATTTGCCTTATTGTTATTAGAAAGGTGATATATTGAAGGATTACAATTACATGAGTCAGGTAATGAGTACATTTCCCTTCTTACAGTGTCTTCCCTTCTCTCTCCCAGAATAGTTTATTTTTTAAAAGGGTAATTGTAACGTAAAATGAAACAATTCAAAAGGAAAGGCGCCTGTCTTTCTGTGGAGATAAGACTTTAAAGGGAAAATGGTTTCCTTACCCTTCCATGGAACCAGTCTTCACAGACTATACATTGAATCATCTCATCAGGAACCTAACACAGAAAAGGATCATGTCAATGAATGCAGATAATGTTGGGACATGGAAGTAAATGTGACACAAAATAGAACTAGATATTAAATAATTGGCTATCAACGGTAAGACTAACCATGTTAACAGCAGTCAAAAGGACAAAGAAGTTTATTTGAACAGGTTTGCAAGCATATCTTTCACATCCATTAGTTAGTATCTGATTGTGATAAAACTATGGCATTTGGAACTTTGAACCATAGCATCTACCAAGCAAGATGAAAGATAAATGTTCAGTCTCTTGAAGGGAGATAGCTGAACCATAATCATTAGATTTTAGGCTCCAGAGCAACTAGGTTAACAGGCATGAGGCACCATGTCCTGTAGGATTTATGTAACTAACACACATTAGTTGTTTATATAAAGGGGAGGGGTTGCTTCCATTGTGACATTTCCATACATGCATATAATGCATTAATATACATCCTGATCAAACTGACATCTTTTATCACTCTCCCCTACCCACTTCTAAAACAATTTCAACAGACTTCATTGTTCTATTTTCACATATGCAAATAAACTATTTTTACCACACCCGTCCTCATTTACTTTTTGTTCACCTTCACCTAAGAGAACTTGTTTCAACCAGGTGCTGGTGGCTCATGCCTATAATCCTAGTTACTAGGAGGCTGAGATCTAGGATCACAGTTCAAAGCCAACCTGGGCAGGAAAGTCCATGACTCTCTTATCTCCAATTAGCCACCAAAAAGCCAGAAGTTGCACTATGGCCCAAGTGGTAGAGCGCTAGCCTTGAGCAAGAGAGCTCAGGACAGCATCTAGGCTCTGAGTTTAAGCTCCATAACTGACAAAAAACAAAACAAAACAAAAACCCTGTTTTGTTATTCTTATCCTGTCATTAATTTTCAAAAATATGTATTAATTATGCCAAGAAGTTTTGCCATATCAGTCATATAGTACTTTAATCAGGCAAAAAGCATACAGTTTTTCTTTTTTTTTGGAGGGGGGGGGTTGGTTGTGGGGCCTGAACTCTGGGCCTGGGCACTGTCCCTCAGCTCTTCAGCTCAAGGCTAGCGCTTTACCACTTGAGCCACAGCGCCACTTCCGCCTTTTTTCTTTTTGCTTATGTGGTGCTGAGGAATCGAACCCAGGGCCTCATGCATGCAAGGCAAGTGCTCTGCCACTGAGCCACCTTCCCAGCCCCAGCAAAAACTTTAAAAGGTACTATTCATTTATTGGAATGGCAAAATTTTAATATATAGGGTTGATAAGACTATTGGAGGTAAAAAATAGTATCATATATTGGTGGTTGAATCCTTTTGGTGGGCATGATCACAATTTGAAATACAAATGCTCTCTGACACATTAATTCTACATGTAGATATCCATCCCATATACAGTTGCAGGAGGATTCTCAGCTATGTAACTGTAGACACACTGTATTTACCTGGGATACACGTGGGAAGGAAGAAGAAGGAATGAGAAAGAACTCTAAAATTTGCCTAGACTTGCCATTGAAATTGTTATGTACACATTTCTTTACTTCCAGGAAGGCAAGAAGTAGAAGGTCCCTTCTCAGAAAATGTTCATTGGTGAAGCAGGCAGGGAAAAGTGAGAAAAGAAAGTTCTGGTCTTGGAAAAGTCCTTTCCAATATCTCATTTCTTTTTTTTTTTTTTTTTTTTTGGGTCCGGTCGTGGGGCCTGAACTCTGGGCCTGGGCGCTGTCCCTCAGCTCTTCAGCTCAAGGCTAGCGCTCTACCACTTGAGCCACAGCACCACTTCCGGCTTTTTTCTTTTTGCTTATGTGGTGCTGAGGAATCGAACCCAGGGCCTCAGGCATGCAAGGCAAGCGCTCTACCACTGAGCCACCTTCCCAGCCCCCAATATCTCATTTCTATATTGAGAAAAATTGGGATCTGTACTGGTTATAGATCCAAGCCAGTTATGTATAAGAGTAAATATACAATCATTGAGTATCATGAAATACTTCCTGAAGAGCTCCTAAAATACTTTGTTTCCTTTCTGTTAATCTTGATAAAAAACATTTTCTGAAGGGTTCCTGCTTTTTTTTTGGTCCCTTACAGGGCTTGAACTCTGGGCCTGAGTACTGTCCCTCAGCTCTGCAGCTCAAGGCTAGCACTCTACCACTTAGCCACAGTGCCACTTCCCGTTTTTCTGGTGGTTTATTGGAGATAAAGGATTTCACCGCTTTTCCTGCCCGGGATGGCTTTGAACCGCAATCCTCAAATCTCAGCCTCCTGAGTAGCCAGGATTATAGGCATGAGCCACTGACACCCGGCATGGGTTCCTGCTTTGATCAGGTGACTTGGACCTTTTTACATTTTAGTTATATTCTTTTCCTGAGCACTTTAATTAAGACTTTCTGTGAGAAGCTCCTTGATTTTAGTTACACCTTGTTAATTAAGCCACATCCTTTTGCAGACTGTGAACCTGAGCTCAGCCAACGTGAGCAAAGGGAGTAGCTGTGAGCTACATGTGCTTGCTTGCCAGATTTTGGGCCAATGGTGCACCCTTCTGCAAAGATAAAGTTTTCCTTACTGAGTTCCTTTTGACTTAGTATTGTTATTCCTACAAGATACTCCAACATCCTGAGTTATTTCTAAGATATATGACAAGAGGCTGAAGAGGCTAGAGTGGATATAGTCAGACTTTAACCTCCAAATCTCTTACCTCATCTTCAGGATCTGGATAAGGTCTCTTGCAAATGCAATACAGTCCAAAGAAGTTGTCATTGTACTTATTACCAGAATTTACCTTTGCTTTCTCCTGAAAGATAATAATTTTATCATATAACAAGGTCTAATTTTGAGTATGATTTCATAAATCATATAATAGATATATGCATGTCATAAATCTTTGCATTAACTATTTTCCACACAAAAAATTTTTTTCCCACAGTTTAGTCTTTAACTTTTGAGTTTGAAGGAAAAAATTTCATTCCTAGTAAAGACATACATTTCCCAAGAATCAGGAAAAGTATTCTTTTCTGCATCATTTTTGTAGCAATTGGGGGAAATTGAGCATATAATATATGAACATATACATACAATAAATATAAGTATATGTATTTGTGTATATACATACACACATATATACAACATACATGTGCTTTTGTATACATATTTATACATATGCACATATTCTTTTCTTTTTTTCCCAACCCATGAGAACTTACATTGGTTGGAATGTCAAGGCATTTCTTTATGTATGGCTGTTACTAAAGACTCTCAGGTTATTGGGGGTGGGGGAAGGTGGAGGGGGGCGGGAAGAAGTGAAAGAAATCACCTAAAACTAGTCTTCAAATGAAGGGAAATCATGACAACTTTAGCAATCATGAGGTTTTTCCCCAATCATGAGTATTTTCCCCAAACCTTTGTTATTAATTACAATCTATGCTATAGGTTATCTAGTTTCTCTAAGAGTGAAAATGAAATACTCATCTGCAAAGAAAAAGAACATCCTTTTTGAAAAACATCTGTTTTTTACCCACTTCAATAATATCATTCTCAGCTTCTTTGAATGTATTTGTAGTTTAATTGCTACTTACAGGAAATAATTTGCATTCCAGATTTTTAAACTTGCTGTTTCCACAATCACAACGAAAATTTCTAAAAAAAAAAAAAAAAAAATTAAAGAGAGTCAATTTTCTTTTAATGAGGGCCTCTCACTTACTTGGCTAGGCTGGTGCTCTACCACTTGAATACTGTTTCCAGACTTACATTTGCTAGTTGTTGTTGTTTTTTAAGTCAATTGTGGGGCTTGAACTTGGGTTCTGGGAGCTATTCCTGAGCTCTTTTGCCCAAGGCTAACACTCTACCACTTTGAGCCATAAATCCACTTCCGGTTTTCCAGTGGTTAATTGAAGATAAGAGTCTCAAGGACTTTCCTGCCCAGGCTGGTGTTGAACTGCTATCCTCAGATCTCAGACTTCTGAGTAGCTAGGATTATAAGCATGGTCCACCAATGTGCTGAGTGTTCTCTAAACTCAAATCATTGCCTCTTCCCTTTGCCTCATTTCTAAGATTTAGAGTGCCTTCCATTGCTGCTTCTATATCTAATTTGGAATTTCCCCAAGCCCATGACAATGAGAGATTTACAATTCTGGAAATTAATATAAAGACAAATATCTGTACTACTCACACAACTAAACTAATGCAGAGAAAGAATGAGTAATTTGAGTTTTTACCATAATTATGTTTTAAAAGGTCCTATGGGGAGGAAAATCCCTTCAATTATACAATTGTACTAAATAAGAAACAGGTCAAGTTGGGAAAGAATATAAACATTTAGTAAACACTAGCAACAATCTATTTACCTTTTTGTGTATAGTTCAAAGAGTTTATGACTTCCATGGCATTCATAACTACAAGCCAGACAAATTCCTGCTGGTTCTTCTCCCTCTGGGGTGCAAGTACTACAGGCATATAAAGCTTGTCTCTTTACTGAGCCCTGAAAATCAGCCCCAAAGCAGAAGGAAACAAATTAATGAAAAAACAGTAACAATATCATTACTAAGGTCTGAGAAAAAATTAAAGTCAGATTTTCTGATCAAGATCTTCCTGTAATAACCTTTAAGACTACTTTAAAAGTTTATACAACATAGTACCCAAACACTGCTGGATGTTTAGTATCTATATTAATACTTGTTTTCATATAATTTTTTTTCTTCAAGTGATAGTAAGTTTGCCAAGCATTGGTGGCTCAAGCCTGTAAACCTGTTTACCCAAGAGGATGAGATCAGAGAACAGCTGTTTGAAGCCAGCTCCAGCAGACTCTCATCTCCGTTAACCAGCAAAAGGCTGGAAGTGAAACTGGGCTCAAGTGATAGAGCTCCAGCTTTGAGCAAGAAAATCAAGCAAGAATGTGAAGCCCTGAGTTCAAGTCCCAGCACCCATCCCCACACCATAGTAAGTTTTAATTTGTGTGTCGCCTGTAAATAAATTGTCATTTTCTTAATTTTCCTCTTTTCTGGTCTCTTTCTGTCCCTACCACATAATGACTTCAAGTCTCTTCCCTCATTCCCCGTCTTCCACTCTACCCAGAGGCCTAAGTAACTTGCTTTCTCCTACCAATCTGCATTCCCTGTTAGTTTCACCCAGTCAGCCCGTCTCCATTACGGTACTTAGAAATACAAGATGAGTCACTCCCACTCCATTACACCCCCCCCCCCCCCCAACACTTGCACACAACATCTCCCAAAGGCCAAACAGATCCTTATCTGCCCTCCCCTTCCTGGCCAAAGCCACCTGATGTTCTGGTTCCGCTCTATTTCCGGGGAGGGGAGGAGTGCGGAATGTCACAGTTCAAAGAGACACAGTGCTCGCTTGGTGTTGTTCGCTTTTTGGGGGGACACTAGTGTGCAGTTAAACTAAATTGCAGAATTGCCAAGGAGCTTACAGCACAAGGGGAAAAATTTCAATCCCAGGGCCCTTACAAAACTCTATTTTGACCATCACGCTCCGATTCATTTCCTCCTAAACATTCTTAAGATGGAAAAAAGAAGGGTCAAACATGTCTAGATTTGAGACGACGGTTTCGTGGAACGCAGCCGGGCCACCCAGGAGGCCCTCCAGTCGGAGAGCAGGGGCAGGGCAGCAGCTTCAGGGCCAGGGTCTGCACAATCGCGAGCGGCTGGGCGCAGGACGAAGGAGGGAGGCCCCTGCGGGACACAGGCGGAGGAAGGGGGCGCGGAAAAGGCAGCAGCGCGGGGGCTGGGGAAGCCTACGACCAGCGGTGTCCCTGGGGCGGCGCAGGCGGGAGGCCCACGGCAGGCAGAAACCGGGAGAGCTAGGTGGGAAGACGAGGCCCGGGCCGCGCGCCCACCTGCGAGTAGGAGCATCTCTCGGAGTCGCTGCCGCCCAAGACAGCGCACGCCTCGTTCTCCAGCTCCTCGTCCTCCTCGAGCACGTCCACCAACGACACCACGGGCTCCAGCTCCGACGGACGCCCAGCGGGGCTCTCCGCTCCGGCCATGCTGAACTGTCACCCGCACCCTACCACGACTCCGGCGGAGGCGGGAAAAGCGGCCGCGAGGGGCGTAGCGGAGAAGGCGGGGCCTCAGAGCCAGGAACCAATCGTAAAGAAGGAACGCAAAGGAAGGGGGAGGAGCGACATCCGACAAACGGAAGTCATCTCTCCGCTTTCTCCCGCCTGCGCCGGCCGCGGGCTCATTTCCGCTTCCGGTGGCGCTTTCCCGTGGCGCGCTCTTAAAGCGAAGCGGTCGCCATGGAGCTGGTAGGGGAGTACGTAGGGCCTGACGGGGAGCCTCGGCGACTACGGGTGACCTGCCAGACGTCAGGTGACGCTGATCCTCTCCAGAGTCTGTTGTCGGGCGTAACCCAGATGAAGGAGCTAGTCGTCGAGTTCTTCGGTTCCCTGGTCCAGCAGGAAGCGCAGGGCCGGGTGGCGGCGACCCCAGACGACGCGTTGGACGGTGAGGCTGCCGAAGCCCCCGGAGGGTGCGGCGGGGCGGGGCGCGGCGCCCTGGGGCCTTCGGCTGGGGAGCCCGTGAAATGACCGGTTAACTGACCGAAAGGGAGCCTGGGGTAAGATTGAGCCCGCGATATAACCGACGGATTGACCGAAAGTGAGCCTGGAGTAAGAATTTCACCTAAAAATGATAGGCCCTGCTGTGCTCTTTTCTGAGCGAGCTATTTCTTCCTGAGGATTTATATTGGGAGGAAAAGAGCAAAGCAAAACAAAAATGCATTCAACGCCTACTACTCTGTGCCAAGCATTGGGCTGGAGAAAAAGTGAGATGGATTGTACTCAGTGTCCTCACACCACGAGGTGTGATGGGCAGGTCCAATCGTTAAAGAAGGAAAATCAAATCTATGAGGGGTTCTTTCACTGTGGCAGAGATGGTCGAGGAAGGCCAGTCTAGAGAGAGCATGGCTTTTTAGCTGGGTGTTGGTAAAGGAAAATAGTTTTGTCAGGTGTAAGAAAGAGTGCAGCCTAGTAGGGAGGGACAGCTTCTGCAGATTGGGACAGACTTCAGTCTTAACCCAGAGGCTCCCTTCCTGTGTTTTTCTTTTACTTATTTTTGTTGTTTTAAGTAGTTATGCAAAGAAGTTTCCACTCATCCTGTCAGATTATGGGTAAAATGTACCGGTATCACCCCTTTCGATTGTTCTCTCCTCTCCTCCTCATCTTTCCCAATTCCATTCATACCCTCAGGTTTGGTACTTCTTTTACGTAATGTACTTCGAATATAATGCCTTGTCCCAGTTTTGTAAATGCAGTTTGAAGGTGGAACCATTAATGGAATGATAAAACTCCATTAATTTTATTTATTTTGTCTTAAATCAGAACTAGGTACTGTGTGTCCCAGAGCTTAAACTCTGGACCTAAGCACCTGAGCTCTTGTGCTCAAGGCTAGTGCTCTACCACTTGAGTCACAGCTCCAGTTCTGGCTTTTTGTGGTTATTTGGAGAAAATACACAAGGACTTTCCTGCCCAGGCTGGCTTCAAACTCTGATCCTAAGTTCTCAGCCTCCTGAATAGCTAGGATTAAATAATATAATCTTTTTAAATGAGAATAGTTTTATTAATCCTGAAAGTTAAATGGTCTCATATCAACCATTTTAGCTGTCAATATTTCTTTCATTCACTGAACATGTCATACAACAAATATTTATTTTAAAAGGTGATGATGAAGATGATGCAGAAGATGAAAATAACATTGATAAGAGAAGTAACTCAGACGGACCATCTGCAAAACGACCCAAACCACCATCTTAGTAATAGCATTTATGAAATTCAAAAGACTTCTATTGAGCTGGGCCAAGTAGAATGCATTGCCTGTATTCTCAGCTATTCAGGAGGCTAAGGCAGGAAGATTGAAAATTCAAGGCCATCCTGAGCTATGTAGCAAGACATTGCCTCAAAAAAAAAAGACTACTACTACATCTTACATCCTATTCACACTGATATTTAAGGGAGCTTTGCACTGTAGTTTGGGAAAACATTTATTTTGCTCTCTTGGAACAAGTTTATCAGAGGAAAAATTTTGTTTTTTACCAGAGGAAGATAAATGTTTGGGACTGCAGTCTGTTGTCTTGAGTGAGAAATTTCAGGCTGTAGAAATAACAATACTTCATGATGTATGAAATCTTCCAAATTGGCTACTGAATGTTTATCATTGTGTTATTTTTTTTAATACTATATTAAAGTGTGTGATATCTATACCTTTTAACTTCTGTTATAAAAAGTACACGTCCAGCTGGGTGCCAGTGGCTCATGCCTATAATCTTAGCTACTCAGGAGGCTGAGATCTGAGGATTGTAGTTCAAAGCCAGTCCAGGCAGGAAAGTCTTATCTCCAATTAACCACCCCCAAACTGGAAGTGGAGCCGTGCCTCAAGGTTGGTAGAGAACTAGCCTTAAGCAAAAGAGCTCAGAGACAGCCTAAGCCCTGAGTTCAAGCACCATGACTGACCAAAAAAAAAAAAAAAAAAAAAGCCAGGCTTTGGCAATTCAAATCTGTAATCCTAACTATTCAGGAGGCTGAAATCTGAGGATCATGGTTCAAAGTCAGCCTGGGCAGGGATGTCCATGAGACTTATCTCCAGTTAACCACCAGAACATTGGAAGTAGAGCTATGGCTCAAAGTAGTAGAGCAGCACTCGCCTTGAGCAAAAGAGCTCAGGGACAACAATGCTAAGGTCCTAAGTTCAAGCCACATAACTGACAATAATAATAACAATAATAATAGCAGAGTAAGCTAGGCACACTATTGGCTCATACCATAATCCTCCCTACTCAGGAGGCTGAGAGGATGGTGTTTTGAAGTGATTCAGGGTAGACAAGTCTAAGAGACTCTTCAGTTAACCAGCAAAAGGCTGAAGTAGGGGATTGGCACAAGTGTAGAGTGCCAGCCATGAGAGGCCCTGAGTTTAAGGCCTAGTACCAAAGTACGTGTCATGGTTCATGAGTAATATTATTTTGGAAAAACTGGTGAGAGCAAGTGGGAGAAATTTTTTATACTAGGCATCAAAATATTAATTCTTTGTAAGTAGAAGGAAAATGAGTGAACAGAAATACTAGGACTATGGGCAGACAAATCTAAGACTGATCTCCAACTAACCAGCCAGAAGTGGAGTTGTGGCTCAAGTTGCAGAGCACCAGCCTTGAGCAAAAAGGCTAAGAGAGAATGTGAAAAGCCCTGAGTTCAAGCCAGTACCAGAACAAAAACAAATACTAGAACTAGAGCTGTGGATTAAGTAAGTGGTACAGCACCAAGCATGAACCAAAAAATAAAAATAAAATGGATACTGGTGGTGGTACACTACTGTAATCTCAGCAACTGGTAGGTTGAAGCAGAAGGATCTTGAGTTTAACCTGTCTATATAAGGAGATCCTATCTCAAAAAATAAGGGCTGGGAAGGTGGCTTAGTGGTAGAGTGCTTGAGGCCCTGGGTTCGATTCCTCAGCACCATCTAAACAGCAAAAGCTGGAAGTGGTGGAAGTGGTGCTGTGGCGCAAGTGGTAGAGCTAGGGACAGCGCCCAGGCCCAGAGTTCAAGCCCCATGACCGACAAAAAAAAAAAAGGTAAAAACAAACAAGAACTGTTGAATCCTTTTCAAAACACTTAGTGGCTGAAACGTATGTTTCTATTGTGTTTGCCTGTTGTACCAAGGCACGTTTATTTTTATTTTTTTGCTGGTCCTGGGGCCTGGTCTAGGGCATCTTTTCATTTATTTTTGTGTGTCTGTGCATGCACATACATACATATATGTATTGGGATTTGAACTCAGGGACTTACATTCTTACTTGATGGTTGGTGCTCTACCACTTGAGCCACACCTCCAATTCAACCTTTTTGGTGCAGTTTTGGGGGCTTGAACTGAAGGCATGGGTGCTATCCCTTTGTTTTTTCACTCAAGGCTGTCAACTCTGCTACTTAAGCCATGGTTCCACTTCTGGTTTGGGGCTGGTTAATTGGAGATAAAGAGTCTCAAGGACAGGACTTTCCCTGTGCAGGCTGGCTTTGAACTGTGAACCTCAGATCTCAGCCTCCTGAGTAGCTAGAATTACAAGTATGAGCCACAAGCACTTGGTTCTTTAATTTTTGTTTATTTGTCGGTCATGGGGCTTGAACTCTGGGCCTCAGCTCTTCAGCTCAAGGCTAGTGCTCTACCACTTGAGCCACAGCATCACTTCCAGCTTTTTCTGTGTATGTGGTGCTGAGGAATCGAACCCAGGGCCTCATGCATGCAAGGCAAGCACTCTACCACTGAGCCACCTTCCTAGCCTTGGTTCTTTAACTTTTGACTGCTGTTTTGTAAGAAAACGCAACTCCTATTTGAACTTTTTGTACTTGGTAATTGAGAACTAAAGTTGAAAACTATCATAGAAATGAGACACCAGCAATCGGCTAATGTACATGAGTTTGATTCAACAGTTTTACCAGGATTTCTCCTACAGATAACACATGCCCAAAGAGCTGTTTATAAAACTAGTTATTGCAATGTTATTCTTAATATATCCATTAGCAGAACACTAGTAAATAAAAATAATGGAATATTGTGTAGCTATTAAGACAAAAAGATATAGCCCAGTGTGCTATACAGGGATCACTGTACATTAAATGAAAACTAGAGCGATAGAGAATTGGGTAGAATGCTATGACTGGAAAGTGTATGCTAGATGTTGTGTAGTCTGAAAGGATAGTCACGCTGTCCTGGGAAAAAGGAAGTAGGATCAGGAGAGAGGGGAGCTTCTCATTATATGGCCTTTGGTTCTAGTTGCACTTAAAAAAAAATTTTTTTTGCACAAATAGGTAAAAAGTTATTTTGAAACTTTCAAGTAATTTTTTTTTTTAAAGACAAGGCCTTGTTTTGAAACCCTTGCTGGCTTCAAAGTCTATCCTCCTCCAACACAAACAACTTTTAATTTTAAAAAGTCATGCTTTAAATTTAATAAGGGCAAATGAGAATTAATACCCTGTCATATAAGTAATTCAGGGCAAAAAATAAAGTGAATTTAGACTTCAAAAACAAATAGGCCAGCCAGGCGCTGGTGGCTCACGCCTGTAATCCTAGCTACTCAGGAGGCTGAGATCTGAGGATCAAGGTTCAAAGCCAGCCCGGGCAGGAGAGACCGTGAGACTCTTATCTCCAATAAACCACCAGAAAAAACCGGAAGTGGCGCTGTAGCTCAAGTGGTAGAGCGCTCGCCTTGAGCTGAATAGCTGAGGGACAGCGCTTAGGCCCAGAGTTCAAGCCCCATGACCGACCAAAAAAAAAAAAAAACAAATAGGCCAGACACTCGTGGCTCACACTGTAATCCTAGCTATTCAGGAAGCTCAGATTTGAGGTTCACAGTTTGAACCTAGCTTGGACAAAAGGTCCTGGAGACTGTTATCTCTAATTATCAAAAAACTGGAAGTGGAGCTATGGGTCAAGTAGAAGAGCACTAGCCTTGAGCAAAAAAAGCTAAGACAATATTCAGGCCTTGAGTTCAAACCATATTATCTTCACACACAGAAATCTATATTTCAAATCCAACTACTTTATCAGAAGAGGAAGTAGAATGCAACTTCCATAAGCATTTGAGCAGAGTGAAAAACGAAGAGGGGAGGTGTTGGTGTTCATAAAATTGACGTACTTAGCCTTGTCCTTGAAAAACATGCATTACTTTCCAAGTATAAAATAAATTTCACATTGTTGCTGTAATTGTTAATTCTTAGGTGGCCTTTAGGATCAAGAGTGCTCTATTTAAAGACATGACTAAAGGAATGATGTATGCTAGAAATGAGCTTATGTTTTAAGTCTTTTAAAAAGTAGCAGCTTAGCCAGACGCTGGTGGCTCATGCCTGTAATCCTAGCTACTCGGGGCTGAGATCTGAGGATCGAGGTTCAGAGCTAGCCCATGAGTCTTGTTATCTCCAATAAAACCACCAGAAAACCGGAAGTGTCGCTGTGGCTCAAGTGGTGAGTGCTCACCTTGAGCTGAAGAGCTCAGGGAACAGCACTCAGGCCGAGTTCAAGCCCCACAAAAGTAGCAGCTTGTATTAAGACATTGATAGGCCATGGCGATATAGTTTTACGTAGAAGTGTACTTTCAAAATTCTGGTGGGAATAGAAGTAGTTTGAGTGTTTTTATAGGCTCTCAGTATTGGTTTCAGTGCTCAGGATTGAAATTATATGCTATAGTTGGAAAAGAGTGGTTTATATTTGGCATTTTGATGGTTTAGAAATTCTTCATGATTGAAACAGAATTTTCTTTAGGGCCTTAGGAATGTTTTAAAACCTTGTTATATGAGTATGTTTTTTTTCCTCAGCATCTGTAGGAAAATTCCTATTTGTCACATTGTGACCAGTGTCACAAAGACTATTAATAAAGAGCCATTTTTCTTGAAGAAAATATATCACTACATTCTGGAATTTGAAAGAGGTTAATAACTAGTTTAATAACTGACAACTAAACAAATGATAGATTATGTTATGCACTTAGTAGCAAATACTAACTTCTCAAGAATGAACTATACTGTTTTGCGGTCTAGCAAGAAAAGTATATAAAGCAAAAGACAAAAATGTTTTTAAAAAAAGAGAGAGAGAAGTGTACATCAGTAATTACATACTGGGTACCTACTGTGTTCCTGGCACAGTTATAGATGTGGGACCTAGGGACCTACATCAGTAAACAACAGAACCCCAGGCTTTGTGGATTTAAGATCTGACACAATATGTAGCATATGACATCAGGTCCTATGGAGAAAAGTTAAACAGGGAAGAAGGATTCTTCCTTTTAAATAGGGTAGTTTGAGCACACATTTGAAGAAGGTAGTGCAACAAGACAGGTCCTAGCATCAGGCTAAACACACATAGTGCAGAGGCTCTGAGTCAGGGTGTTCTACCAAGTTCAGGAATCATCAAGATAAGCTGGACATCAGTGGCTCAGGCCTATAATCCAAGATACTTAAGAGGCTGAGATCTGGGCTGGGAAGGTGGCTCAGTGGTAGAGTGCCTGCCTTGCATGCATGAGGCCCTGGGTTCGATTCTTCAGCACCACATAAGCAGAAAAAAAAAAAGCCGGAAGTGGCGCTGTGGCTCAAGTGGTAGAGTGCTAGCCTGGAGCTGAAGAGCTGAGGGACAGTGCCCAGGTCCAGAAGTCAGGCCCCACAACTGGACCAAAAAAAAAAAAAAAAGAGGCTGAGATCTAAGGATTGTGATTCCCATGAAAGTCCAGGAGACTCTGATCTCCAATTAACTACCAAAAAAGCTGCAAGTACAGCTGTGGCTCTAGCGGTAGAGTGTTAGTCTTGAGCAAGAAAGCTCAGGGACAGAGTCTAGGCCCTGACTTCAAGCCCCAAGACCAGCACACACACACAAAAAAATCATCAAGATGACCAGTTCGACTAAAATAGTCTACAGCACAAACAGTAGAAAATTAAAGGTATGTCATGTTAAAAACTTCATTTGTATTCTGAGGAAAATTCAGGAGGACTTGAGAAGAATAACATTAAAGTATTCCTGGCCACTGGATTGATAATCAAGCAGGTTTTCGTGTGTGGACATTGGCAAGTGATTTTTTTTTTCCTTGATAGTTCTAATGTGTACAGCCAATTTAATTCCTGTTCATATTGCTGTAGACCAAAACAAAAACACTAATGAATGATGACTCCCAATCATGGTCCAAAAGTATATGAGATTTTAAATATTAAAGATTTTATAAAATGATCACACATATTTACCTATTGGCTCTCTTTTTTTTTTTTGCCAGTTGTGGGCCTGAACTCTGGGTCTGGGCACTGTCCCTCAGCTCTTCAGCTCAAGGTTAGTACTTTACCACTTGAGCCACAGCACCATTCCCGGCTTTTTCTGCTTATGTGGTGCTGAGGAATTGAACCCAGGACCTCATGCATGCAAGGCAAGCATTCTACTGAGCCACCTTCCCAGCCCCCCTATTGGCTCTCTTAAGACAAGGCCTATCAAATTATGATAAACATAATGCTGTCACGATAGAACAGTGTCATTATTAGTGAAACAGTAAAATGTTTTCATGTATTAACATAACTGAATAGCCAGGCATTGGTGGCTCATGCCTGTAATCCTAGCTACTCAGGATGCTAAGATGTGAGAATCAAGGCTCATTTTGGGCAGACTGAGCCAAGAAACACTTCTCCAATTAACTGCCAAAAAGCTGGAAATGGAGGTATGGCTTAAGTGGTAGAGTGCCAGCTGAAATAAAATCTGAGCAAAAACTTGAAAAGTTAGGCTCAAGCCTTCAGTACCAGTTTAAAAAACAACACATCCAGAAACTGTTTACCTCATCCAGAAAAGAATCTAGTAATTTTCCTATTTATATTGGTACCACACAGAAGTGCAAAGGAGGTACAAGGATCACATCTTCATGGAAGTACCTAACCTTGGGCCATAAAGAATGAGGGATGATGAAATGGTAGCATTGGAAAGGTATCATGTTCTTATAAGTACTAGCCTAAATTACCTGAGATATTTTCCTTTGACCATATTATCTCCCCATCTTTGATGTACAAGTTACTTCTAGATTTTATTTTTTGATTTTTAAATGTTAGTCTATTCCCAAATAATTCTTTAAAATAGCAATAATGATTTAGGTAGCCATTATCCAGAGCAAATTCTTGTCAAGACAACTATCATGACTGGGGTTTAGTTCTGCTGTACAGTGTGTGTGGTTTAGTACCTAATATCAAGAAAGAATGAAAGAAAAACACCTCAGTAACTTATACTAGCTCTTCACAAGATGAAAGCAAGCAAGCATAAACATTTGGCTTAGCTACAAAATAATGATGTTTTAGTATGATATGAAGAATTTTAAAGCAAAGTAATTGTATAAATTTTATGACCATGGTTGGACCTTTTAACACAACACAATGGGAATGTTCATATTCATTTTTTCCCCCAAAGGAAAAATTTATGAATCACCACTATGTTGTACAGTAGAGCAGAAACATGAGTTCAGATACTTATTCAAGTTTCTAAGGACTGAAAATAACAAAGACAATATTACTTCCAAAATCTGAAGTCACTGACATGATTTTGTATGTTATGTCAGGTCAGGCTTTACCTAAAAAGTCATTATTCAGATATAATTCCACAAGTGGTGCTGTGGCTCAAGTGGTAGAGAGCTTACTTTGAACTGAAGAGCGCAGGGACAGTGCCCAGGCCCAGAGTTCAAGCCCCACGACCGACAAAAAGATAAATTCCATGTCACATTTAAAAAACCTCTACCCTACCACAACTTCCTGAGATCTGTGGAGAAACTGCAGTCTTGTGATCAGACTCCATAAAGTACTGGCAGTTTTGTAATCATAGAGAAAAACGGACAGAGTTCATGTGTCAATCAGGTGGAGTCTGCTGATCTGATTAGAAGCCTTGACAAATGCCTGATGGCGATTGCAAATAACTGCCAAACATATGGGGATGATACAGTAGCCCACAGTTTTGGGATCAGCTCTTGTACAAGAATAAAGAAACAAAAACATCTGTAAGTAAGGTATGAGAAAAATAACTGTCCACAACCAAAAAGGCAGGGAAAGTAACCGAGCTTTCAAGGAATGTGTCCATGTAGTTCCTTCCCGGGGCTCCTCTGGGTGCTGTTGAATGTGTTCCAAAGCCAGTCTGTTATAAGTCTCATTGATTTCGAAAACATAGTAAAATGCTGCTGCACTTGCTAGCAGATAGAGTCCGACTCCAATCCATCCCATCCGCTGACGGAAATTCATCATTCTCCATGCTCTGTGACTTAAAAGAAAAAATCCAGTTGAGGTTTAGTAGTGCCGCCGTGGCAACTATTGTAATGCACTTGCTTTATAGCCTATAGTATATATGTGAAATAGCCACTACCACATTTAAGACAAACTTGTATTAAGTGCGAACAGCTTACAAATGGTTTTATGTAATAGCTAGGAGCAAGTAGGCACTGCTTTCAGTATATCTTAAGTTCTGCTTAAACCTTACAGTACACCGTCCCCTCAGAAATCAGAATTACACTAGTTTCCTGGGGGACATTCCACTTCTTGGTTGAAATGCCATCTAGTTTAACAGCTTTGCTACTGACCGGAGCAGTGGGTTCTACATGCTAATCCAATATCGGAGCCCCCAAGTTAAGACAGCAACTCTGAGGCACTTACAGTGGTCCCGAAAATCTTCCTGTTCCCACGGCAAGCGTTAAAGAGTCACTCAGTTCTGAATAATCGGGTGGCTTTGGCATTTCAGAACAAGCCACCACAAAAATCCCCTGGGCCGCCTGGCTTGGGGGAGGGCGAGCGTGGCCAGCCTGGCGCGCAGGCCAGTGGTGATTAAGGACGGCGTGACTGCGGCGGTCACGAGGCGGCCGGCCCTGCTCGGAGCCCCAGGCTGGCTCCCTCGGCCCGGCGGGAAGCACCGGGTCACTGGGGCCTCGCCGGCCCCGCCCCCTGCCGCGATCAGACCTACGCAGGTGGCGCCTGAGCGGAACCTCGCCACCCTGCAACGTCGCGAGCGCAGCGCCCACGAGGGCTGCCGGCCAAGACCGCCTGCTAAGACGAGCAGGTCCCGGGTCTCACCTTCCTGCCCCGAGTGGCCCGCCCGCTCGCCGTCCCGGATGCCGCCGCAGTCGGGACTTCCGGCTCGAGCCGGAAGCGCGTGCTCCGCACCCAGGGTCCGCCCCTCGTGACGTCAGGGGCGCCGCCCGCGCGGGCGCGTCGGAAACACCTGTAACTCGGGGTCCCGGAGGCGGGCGGCACCGCCTGGGGAGCCGGGCAGGGGTGTGAGGGTCGGGACCCGCCGGCGGCGCGACGGCGAGGGTCCACCCTTGAGGCCCCGGTGACCCCGACGTGGACAGCTTACCTGACGGCTCTGTCCTCGCCGGCTGCTCGGCCGCGGCAGGTTCGGAGACCGGCGTGGCTGACAGCGGGATCACTGGTGCGCGGCGGCAGGCGGCCGCGGGCAGGTCGAATTAGAGCTGAGTCTGTTTCTCTGGGCACCGTGACACAGGGGCTGGATTTGAGCGCTCGGAAAGGTCTGGCTGCCGGCACCCCTGAGGCCCGCGCTGCGGCAGTGATGGAGGACGCTCTGCGGGCTGATCCGGCTCCCGTGCGCCAGGACCGACTGCTTGGGAAGACATTCCGGAGGGACGAAAACAGGAATGTAGCCATAATTGGGTTTACCGGGGAGATGAGTCATACGCTGATCCCTAAGGAAAAGGAGAGTGATCTTTAAACCACCTGACCCTGATAATGAAATTTTCAGCAGATTAGATGAGGTTTTTTGTTTTTTTTAAGGTAGAGGACATGACAGTGGGTGAGTTGGTCAGAGCTTTTGGGTGTGGAAATGACCCTTTTGTCCTAGGTAGGGATAAGCTATCTGAAATGTAAGCCTCTATGTTAGCACAGGCATTAGATGAGGCCTTTCAGACTACTCTACATACCTGAAATATCAAAAGCTGTGAGTATTCTCAGGCAGGAATCCTCCACAACCAAGCAAAGAGGAATACAGACCCTGGATATATCATACTACTCAGATGATGAAGACATGGCAGGTGTCAGATGCAGAAAAAATTAGACGATTAATCTAGAGTTTTCATGCCTGTGATCCTAGCTACTCCGGAGGCTGAAATCTGAGGATCGAGGCTCAAAGCCAGCCTGGGCAGGAAAGTCCATGAGACTCTTTGTAAGGTCCGCTCCTGGATGGCCAGCAGACCCCACCCTCCTCGCTAGGCAACTGGGACACCTGGAAGAGGTCATATCTGCATCGCTGAGGTCACATCTGAATTTGATGTGGCCACACCTTTCTCCGCCCATACCCTACATAAGGCCTAGTGGAGGCCCAGACGCTCTCCCACTGCTCTTTTCTAGCTCTCTGCTCTCTCTGCTCTTTTCTAGCTCTTTCCTCTCTTTTGCCAGCTGCCTGGAGTGCCAACCTTGCCTGGTCCCAGCAGGTCTACTGAATAAACCTACCCTTTACCTGAATACCACGTGCGTGGTGCAGTTCTTACTCGGCTACCTCTTTGTAAAAACCTAACACTCTTATCTCCAATAAACCACTAGAAAACCGGAAGTGGCACTGTGGCTCAATGGTAGAGTGCTCGTCTTGAGCTGAAAAGCTGAGGGACAGCACCCAAGCCCAGAGTTCAAGCCCCACAACCGACCCATAAAAAAGTCTTCGAGGCCCAGCATTTGATAATATTTGTACCCTCCAGATAAATAATCCTTCAATTACAGTCTCTGAATGCTTGTAGACTCTTGAGACACTATTTGGTGTGGTCAATAAGCCTAGAGAGTTTCTGCAAGTTAGGGATCTAAACACTAATAGGAAGAAGGGGGCTAAGAATGGGGCTTAATGGTGGAGTGCTTGCCTAACATACATGAAGCCCTGGGTTCAATTCCTCAGTAGCACATAAACAGAAAAAGCCAGAAGTGGCGCTGTTGCTCAAGTGATAAAGAGTACTAGCCTTGAGCAAAAGGAACTCAGGGATGGTGTCCAGGCCCTGAGATCAAGCCCCAAGACTGGCAAAAAAACACACAAAGAAAAAGGAATGCTGAAGAAAAGTTGTCTGCTCATGTACCTTTCTTGTTTCTGTGCCTATTCAGTGTCTCCTAAATTTGTCGTTCCACTGATACTGAAATTCCACCCTGTGGATTTTTTAATCATACAAAGTTGTCAAAAGGCCTGTGGTTCCAAGTGCACAGTTCTTTGAGAGGAAAACCAAGGTTCAGGTGCACTTGCTGTCCAGATCTCACTGAGATGTTTGGTTTTTAACAGCTGCAGGTGTTCTAGTCATGTGTGACCATGTTGTGTCACTAGTAGTTTTTAGGTATGGCCCTGCCTTTATGATGAGTAAGCTATGGTTAACTTTAAGTCATTTTCTGTGTGACTCAGAATTACTGTAATCAAAATAAAATAAAAGTAGTTGAGGCTGACAAGTCTTCAACAATGTTTAACTATAGATTCTGATGTGCTTTGAAACATGGTTGTTTTGAAATTGTAGTTGTGAACATGTAAAATAAAGGAATACTGATAAAATGCCTTCTTTAATCTATTTTCTTTACATAAGGGTCCAAAAGATTTCACTTAAACAAAGGTTTTCAAAATATAAATCTCAAAACCACTGAAGTTATACAGACCTAATATTTTGGACTCTTTTCTTGGTGCCAAGCAGGTAGGGAGTCATTTTCTAAACAAAGGAATGAAACAAGACCCTGTGTAAATTAGAACAAGTAGTAGGTCTGGATATATAATATTTCCTTATCTCAGTGACATTTTAGTGCTGTCATTTATGTTTAGTTCATTTGATATCATAAATAATTTTTAAATGAGTCACATTGTCCATTTCCAGTGATATATATTTTGTTGTATTTTGCAGTACCGGAATTTGAGCCCATGTCCAACACTTGATCGAAGTTCCCAGCCCTTTTGTCTGTATGTTGTTTAGCTTTGCCTGGACTAACATCAAACTCATCAAGATCCTTCTGCCTCTGCCTCTGCCTCCCAAGTAACTGGGAATGCAGGCATGTACTACCAGACTTGGCCCATTTCCAGAGTCCTCAGTCCTAATCTGTGCTGCCTTCTTTTTTATTTTTGCTGTACTGGGAATTGAACTTGGGGCCTTCCATTTAATAGGCAAGCATACTACTGTTTAAGACACAATCCATTTTGCTTTTAGTTTTTTTGTCAGATAGGATCTGGAATGTTACCCTCTAGCCTAGACCTCAGTCCTGCTTCTGTCTTCCTTGCAAATAGCTGAGATTACCAGCAGGCATGTACCACCACATCATTTGAAGTTTTTAGTGAAAAATAAATTACAAAAAGAAAGGGAAGATGGCCTGTCAGCAAGTTACGAAAGCTAGTCGGAATGAGCCCCCAGGGGTGATAGCTATAATTTGAGCTATAGAGTAAATAACATAATACTGAGTCATAGCACAAAGTATAAAACATCCATGAGGGGCTGGGAAAGTGGCTCAGTTGGTAGAGTGCTTGCCTTGCATGCATGAGTGCCTGGGTTTGATTCCTCAGCACCACATAAACAGAAAAAGCCAGAAGTGGCGCTGAGGGACAGAGCCCAGGCCCAGAGTTCAGCCCCTATGACTGACAAAAGAAAAAAGAAAAAAATCCATGAATTCATGCTGATGTAAATAAAGGGTGACTAAATAAAGATGGGAGAAGAATTCAAGAGTTCTTTAACAGAATTTCAAATAACTCATGCCCCTTTAGAAGTTTCTGGGCTGGGAAGATGGCTTAGGGGTACAGTGCTTGCCTAGCATGCATGAAAACCCTGGGTTTTCCTCAGTACCATGTAAACAGAAAAGGCCAGACATGGCACTATGGCTTAAGTGGTAGAGTGCTAGCTTTGAGCAGAAGAAGCTCAGGGACAGTACCCATGCCCTGAGTGCAAGCCCCAGGATTGGAAATTAAAAATGGAGTTTATTTGTCTATGTCTCTGTCTCTCTGTCTCTGTTTCTCTCTCTGTGTGTGTCTGTCTCTTACTCTCTCTCTCTCTCCCTCTCCCTCTCTCTCTCTCTCTCTCTCACACACACACACACACACACACACACTGGGTTCAACTTATTGGCTTGCTTCGAGGAAAGAGAGTATAGAGGAGGAAGAGTCTGGCATATGCTACCTTGGCACAAGGATCCCAGTTAACATCAGTGAGGTCATGTTGGTACAGCATGTATACCTGATAGGATGTGAATGGCTTTTGACCACTGCAATATTCTTCCTCAAAATCCATAAACCCAGGCTGATCATGAGAAACACACCAAACAACCCAAGCTTAAGCATTCTACAAAATGCTTGACCAGTACTTCTCAAAATGCCAAGATTATATAAAACAGAAACTGTCCCAGACCAGAGAAGTCTAAGCAACCATGGGTTTGATAGTAGTGTATCGATCTTGGTTTCTTGGACTTGACTGTACTTTGTAACTTTTCTGTTACCTAAAGCTATTCTAATTTTTTATTAAAATACATATGCAAACACTCATTTGCATATAACACATGATCCCATGCCAATCAATGAAATAAATCACTAGAGGATGAATTACAAATGTACCTCCCCTGCAATCATTGTTCATCTATTTAACACTAGGTGGTGCTGGCCAAAGAAGAGAGATTTCAGAAGCATTTATGAGGAAAAATACTTAAGTTTGTCACAATGACTTCTCTTCTAGGTTCAAGACTTCTAGAATCTTCTAGTTAGCTTGTCAGAGAGGCCTGGCCCTGGCAAGTGGACTTATTCCAGTCTTCACAGGTAAGAACATGATTCTATTTTATCCTCAGCTGGTATTTCTTGGGAGTTGGGGATCAGATCTACTGAAAGAGACTTCCTGTTGTTTTGAGAGGAGAGAGCGATACTGGGGTACTGGGTCTTGAACTCAAAGCCTGGGCTCTATCCTTCAGCTTATTTCACTCCAAAGCTGGTATTCTACCACTTAATCATTCCACTTCTAGTTTTCTTAGTGGTTAATTGGAAATAAGAGACTCCTGGACTTTCCAGTCTGGACTAGCTTCAAACCATGATCCTCAAATCTCAGCCTTCTGAGTAGTGAGGATTACAAGTA